TTAGGCGGAAAATTTTTTCGTCTATATTTGAAATTTAATTAAAATTTATTTATTAGCAAATCTTATGCATGAAAAAAATGTATTTTTTATACACTTAGTGACTACTACTCAGTAACTACAAATTGTATTAAATTTAAATTTTGACCGTAGTTTTATTAGATATATTTTCAATGAGATATTATATTAATTTAATAGTAATTTATTGACACAATTCAAAAAATTATTATGGAAATTAATTTGATTAAATATATTATCATCTATGGTTGTAGAAACTAATTTAGTTAATTGTATTTACTATTCAGAAGCACTTAAAATATATAATAAAATAATCAAAATAACTATGTTTAAATCACACTAACTTAATAAATAATTTAAAATATTAATAAAGGTTTATAAAATATAGTCAATTTAGTTATAAAAAGGTACATCCCTATTGAATACATTATATGCAGTGATAATATTATTAAAAATTTAAATAATATACTAATACAGATAAAATTTGATTGTGGGGTGCAACTTAGAATTCTTAATTTCACATTTGAAATATCTATGCACAGTAAAAAAAAAAAGCTATTTAATTTTTTAAAAATATATAAGTTTTCTTTTATCCTATTTTAAAAATATCTATATTTATATCTATATCTATATCGTTATCTATATCTATATAATGGACCAATCTTTATTATTATAATTGACATAGTTTTAGACGGAAAAATATTTTCATTTATATTTAGCATATACTTAGCCTTTATCTATTAGCAAATTTTATACGTGAACATTAATTATTTTTTGTTTACTCATTCACTATTATTCATTAGTTATCAATTGAGTTAAATATAATTTTGATTGATGACATATATTTTCAATAAGACCTAATATTAATTTCGTAGTAATTTTTAACACAATTAAAAACACTATTCAAATTTTGAAATATTGATTTGATTAACTATATTATTATCTCATGGATGTAGATTTTAACTTTATTAAGTATAATAACCTATCAGAAGTACTTAAAATATTTAACAAATAATCAGAATAATTGTGTTTAAATCATATTAACTTAATGAATAATTTATAGTAATAACAAAATTTGCTAAAGTATAGTCAACATAACCATTAAAAAGTTTATGTTCATTGAATATATTATTTTATTAGATATACTATTGAAAATCAAATTTAATATATTAATAAAATTATTATTTGATGGTCGAGTGAAATTAAGAATTATAAACATTGGAAATATATGCATACATAAAAAAAAGATTAAGTTGTAAAAAACATATTCTTATTATATACTATTTAATAAAGAAAAAGGAGTAAATAGGATAATATATATAGTCAAATCATAATTAAAAATTATAGCATTTGATAATAATTGAAATATATAATTTATCTCAACATTTAAGTTTGATATTAATACACTCATTATATATGTTGAATATATTTAGTAAATATATAAATATATACGAAAAAATTTAAAATAAAAATAAATAGTTTACTTTGAAAAAAATGTGTTGCATAAGCGATTAAAGTTACTACAATTTAAATTTAATTATCAAACAATTATTATTTCATGCATCTAAAATTAGAATAACGTAAAATAAATTTTACGGTTAAAACATTAGTTAGCTATCGAGCATATGCAAAATATGATTTGTTCAAAAAGTTATAAAATTAAGATAATTAGTAATTTTACAAGTATTTGTAAGCCATTAATTGTATACAAACATCATATTTAATATCAAGATATCGATACTATTTTATAAAATTATAAATAGTAAGATTTATATATTAAATAGTCAAAACCTGTAAAATAAATTATAAAAGATATCCAAATAAAATTTATATTTATTACTGACTTGATATATTGAGTCTGGTACAATTATCATGTTGTATTAAATAAATTAACAATATTTTAATAATAAAATATTAATCTATAGTATACCCCGTGCATCGCACGGGTATCAACACTAGTGTGTTTAAATAACTAGTATCTTCAATTAACGGCCAAATAATTATTATTAATATTATCCCTTAATTACAGTTCCATACAAAAATAAGTTCCCAAAGGGGAAATCGTATTGTGACGTCGTCTCGAGGAAGGATCGGGAGCGAAGAGGATGTTTGTATATAAATTATTTGATTTTTTGGTTTGTACGGTTAATTTTTTGAAAAAGTAGTGTATTAATTGTTAGTGAGATTTTAAGTTTATATTAAAATAATTAAAGTTGATTTGATGTAAAAGTAGGAGAAAGATGATATGAACGATGATTAGTTAAAATTATGTGAGTAAATGAATAACGAACTAAATTTGATGTAAAATAATTGAGTTGTATTATTTAATTATACTGATAATATCGAAGATAGCGGGATTGAGTAAAAGTTGAGTGAGATTTAAATTAACAAAAAAATTGATTCGTTAAAAATGATTGGATTTTTTCAAAAAAAATTTGTATCCAAGCATCTCCGAAGCAATTCTAGCCTATAGAGCAGTACCGCACACCAAGTGTCGAGCTTTTGCGGGCAATGCCCTAATGCTCCGCGAGTCCACTGCAGAAGCCCAGAAGGAATTTGAAAAGAATCGTTGCGTGACCTCCCCCGTTGACCGCAGCCGCCTCCTCGAGGTGGCAGGTGAAGCCTCCCACTTCATCTCGACCATGATCGTCCAAGCCAAGCTCAACAAACGCGGCGGCTACGGTACACCATCTTTACTCCACTGCTAGTTATTGAATTATTTATTTATTTATTTATTTATTTTCTTTTGGTTTTCAGTTTAAATTGTTTTCATTGTGCGCGCCAAATGTTCGTCGAATTGCCGGTGAAATTTGATTGAGAAATGTGGGGGTTCAGTAGTACTTTTCGCTCGTGTCCTTTTGACGAGCTGAAGTGATTCATCTTCATTGAATTCAAATTTTTGTTGGTTCACAAACAAATATATTTTTTACACTTGGGCTTTAAAGCCTGAAACACTATCAAGCTAAAACAGATAAGATGTGCATTGTAGTAACAGCAAAATAGCCACCCAAAAAAAAATACTCCCTCCTTTTTTAAATAAATATCGTTTTGACTTTTTTCATTCATTCATTTTGCTATGTATCTAGACATTAATATGTCTAGACATTCATTTTGCTATGTATCTAGACATATTAATGTCTAGATACATAGCAAAATGAATGAATGAAAAAAGTCAAAACGACATTTATTTAAAAAAGGAGGGAGTATATATTAATATATGATTTGTATCCCTTTGTTATATTCAGGTCACAATATATTCCACGTGAGCATACTTTAGACATCATCATCATCATCATCATCATCATCATCATCATCATCTTGTTTGTCCTCGTCGTCATCATTGTTGTCATCGTGTTTTAGCTCTTCTGCAACAGTTTTCTGGTTATTGCTTGAAGTATTGTTCCCTGAAAAGTAGACATTAATGACACGCCTCGACTTGTTAATTCTTATAAACAAACATTAAGTGAGAAGGAAATGAAAGAAAACAAATGAAAATGGCTTCAATTCAAAGTTATATCATACTAAAATTAACGATGAGGCATATACCAAGAATTCATCGATAATTCAAATCCAACAGCCAACAGAACATTTAAAAAAAACATTTTCTTACCAGATTCACTGTATATGACTCCACCAGTACACAATCATTCCTCAATTTTCATGAGCTGAAGGGTCATTCTAGGTCCAATTTCTTGAAGCTTCACAGCACTTTTATTTGATGCCCGGTTGACTCTATCAAGATCCATCGGTAGACTTACAGTTGCTGCTTCATCATCCATTTCACTTTCTGAGCCATAACCAGCCTTCAAAGAGAGAAAAAAATAAAAATAAAATAAAATAAACATTTAAAGAAAATTCGTGGGAACCTATAAGTTGCTTCAGATGGCAGAAAAATCTATCTAAAAGCAAATGAGAATAGTTAGTTAAAACACAAGGTCGACTTTATGTTTCACTTCCTAGACTATGTCATTTGAAATGGACAAATATCTTAGAACAAACTAACTATAGAAAATAAAATTGCATGCTCCTCATACACACACACACAAAGAGAGAGAGAGAGAGAGAGAGAGAGAGAGAGAGAGAGAGAGAGAGAGAGA